CCCATCAAAAGTATGAATTTTCATTTATTTTCATTTTGTCTTTTGAAAGTGCTATATGATGATCCAGAGTCCTTTAAAAGGGCTCTGGTGAAATAAATTATTATAATGGAACTTTAAAGTGATCTCTTCATTTTCTCATATATATATATATATATAATCTTCATTTTATATATATATATATATATATAATCTTCATTTTCTCATATATATATATATATATATATATATATAATCTTTCATTTTCTCATATATATATATATATATATATATATATATAATCTTCATTTTTCATATATATATATATATATATATATATATAATCCCATATATATATAATCTTCATTTTCTCATATATATATATATAATTATTTTCTCATATATATATATATATAAATCTTCATTTTCTGGATATATATATATATAATCTTCATTTTCTCATATATATATATATATATATAATCTTCATTTTCTCATATATATATATATATATAATTTTCATTTTTTATATATATATATTTATATATATAATCTTCATTTTCTTTTATATATATATATATATATATATATATATATGATCTTCATTTTCTCATATATATATATATATATATATATATAAAGGCTCTCATATATATATATATATATATATATATATATGGATCTTCATTTTCTCATATATATATATAAATATGATCATATATATATATATAATCTTCATTTTCATATATATATATATATATATATATATATATATATATATATATATATAATCTTCATTTTCTCATATATATATATATATATATATATATATATATATAATATTTTCTCATATATATATATATATATATATATATATATAATAATCTTCATTTTCTCATATATATATATATATATATATATATATATATATATATATATATATATATAATCTTCATTTTCTCATATATATATATATATATATATATATATATCTCTTCATTTTTCTCATATATATATATATATATATATATATATATATATATATATATATATATATATATATATATATATATATATATATCTTCATTTTTCTCATATATATATAATCTTATTTTCTCATATATATATATATAATCTTCATTTTCATATATATATATATATATATATATATATAAGCAGTAAAGCAGGCGTGTCCGGGATGTAACAGTAAGAGATAGATCAAGTATCGACCATCATAAAGACTGAAAAATAAAATTTACAAAGATTATTGTTTAAGGTTGACGGACACGCATGTCTTAGTTTTTTTTTTTTTTTTTTTTTTAATTGGTCAAACCCAAATTCAAACAAAAACATTGTTTACAATCGTTATGTGTCTATCAATTGGTGAATAGAATTTTATTATAAACAATTGTCTTGTAAATGGAATTTTTAAAGCATTCTGAATGTAAAAATAACGAAGAAAGTGTGCAAGACAATAAGAAACACTACCTGCCAAAAAAAAGTGAAGTTTTGTTGAAATCGGTTGAAAAATGTAGGTAGCCTTTCTTTGTAATCTTTTACAATTTATGATTTTTATTGAATACAGTAAAAAAAATTGCATATTTTGCTTGTGGTGATTCATAATTAGAATTCTGATTTGAATATATTTTCCACTCGTTGTTTCTAATACAAAAAATATTAACTTTATTTGGATTTATTAATTTTATCGCAAGTACTGTGTGTTCTTTACTTTATAATTATCATCTTCGAAATATTGTTGTTTTTTGTCTGTCAGATTTCTTACATCAGCATTTTAAATTATTTCTTAATACTTTCTTTTAAATATTGAATTAATTTCAAATAGAACCAATGCCTTATTGATCTGCCTTGTAACAAATTGCAAAGGAAATAAAAAAAACGGCCCTAAAGTACATGGAATTATCTTTCCCTTAAGATAAAAAGAATTATCCGATTTTTCGATTCGTACAATCAGTAGAGATCATTAGATTATTGTTTAGGTTGAAGGACACACATGTCTTAGTTTTTTTTGTTTTTTTTCATGAATTGGTCAAACTCAAACAAAAACATTGTTTTCAATAGTTATGATGAGTCCCACGATTGAACAGAATTAGAATTTTATTATAAACAATTGTCTTGTAAATGAAATTTTTAAAACATTCTGAATGTATAAATAAAGAAAAAAGTGTGCAAGACAATAAGAAACACTACCTGCCAAAAAAAAAGTGGATGTTTGTTTTATCGGCTGAAAAAATGTAAGAAATCTGATCCCATATATAAAGGAACACACACACACAAACAACCTGGGTTTTTAACCTAAGTCACTCCACGGAATCGCTAAAACATAGAGCATAGTCTGATGAAAAAGACGCAAAAGTTTATGAAAACAAAATTTTATCGTCAAAATGCTTATGTTTTTTATGAAGAGGATAGACTAAATTTTTTTAATTATTTTTTTAAAATTTTTCCATCTTTTTAGAATATTGTAAATTTTGATTTAAAAACCTTGTTTCTCTTTTGTCGCAACAAGGGTAGTAAATAACATAGATAATTTTTTAGCTTTTTTTTTTTGTATTTACACACATTAATTTGGAAAATCTTGCAAAAATAAAAATAATTGTCAGATGTTAATGAAACTTTCAGAAACTATTTACAGATGATCGAAATTATTATAAATATTTTTTTTTATTAAAGTCATGGCAGAAATATTTTTTTTTATATTTATTAACACCCCCATAACTAATTTTATGAAAAACTCTAGAAATTCGAGACCATTGGTTTTAGTGATTACAATAGTTAAAAGCAGAAGGCTTTGAAGAATGCAAATCATGTTTTTTTTTTTTTTTATTTGGCCAACGTACCTGAAAATCAGCTGTGAATTGTAACATACAAAACACAATAAAACAAATATATTATTTAGTTTCAAAATGCTTTTATTTGTTTTAATTTGTTTTTATGAATATGGACAATATTTTCTGAAAGCAAAAAATTTTTTCAATGAAAATTGAATTTTTAATACAATTATTTCTTATTTCTTTAATTTTAAAAAGATTTTTCAAAAATTTTTAAATTAAATTTTTAAAAATATTTTAACATTAGTTAAAAGCAACATCAACCTTTCAAAATGTCCGTGTGAGATTGTCATTGTCTAGCGCTTTGAAAATTGTATAATTTGGACCAATTAGATTAGCCATGGTAATTAAGAAATGTAATTTTTTTGTTTATAGTCGGACAATAATTATCAAGTAATGGAAGACCAACCAGAATACAATTTAGTTGCATTATTTGAGTTCAGCATTGTTCTCCGCTGTTAAGCCCTTTACTTTTCGAAACACGTATGGAGAAGTTAATTTGAGTTTTCAATTTCAACTGAGAAGGGTACCTACAAGTAACAGTATCATCTTATGAAATTTAACTACTGCTAAACTTTAATTTATATGATCTTATTTTTATATTAATCTCAGTTATGACATTTTTCCATAAATGAAATATCAAAATTAATAATAAAATGAATGGAAATACAAATAACACAGTAAAATGTAATAAATGTACATAAAATTATAGTATTTTATGTATACTTCTGATAAAATTTCATAAGAAAGGTACCTAAATTAATTAGATACCTTTTTCTTATGAAATTTAATCTCACTATTAACAGTCTTATTTTTTAATTTCTTTATATTTTCCATAAAGCATCGTAAACGTAAAAATGAAAGCTAAGTACAAAAAAAAAAAAAAATAAAAAAAAAAAAGAGCTGAAAGTTTTCCTTAAAAGTAACCAGGTAAATAATTTGTTCACTTAAATAAATCTTCCATCCGTAGAAAGAATTATCCTCCCGTAAGTTATCTAAACGTCATGAATGTGCCTTTTCGTCAATTAAATTAGCGACGAAAGGTTATGACGATCTTTGTTTTATTTTCAAATTACATTTTTTTCGGGCGCAGAAGCTAAGTTAAGCTTGGTTCAAAATATTTTAAATAAACAGTATAATATCTGTTTTTATTAAAATCAGTTTTGAAAAAAATGATAATTGATTTTAAAAGAATATCAAAGTCAGATTTTAATCTTTTTTTATCGAATCGAAAAAAAAGATTGAAAATGATTGATTATCTGTCCTTTTTTGACTAAAAAAAAAAAAAAAAAAAAAAAAAAAAAAAAAAATATTTTTAACGAAAAATTTCAGACGTGCTAGGAACGATTAAAAATGTAAAAAAAAATACCCAAAAAAAATACTTTTGATCTTTCCTCTTTAATAATAATATGAACATTAGACGATAAAATTTTGTTTTGGTCAAGTTCGGCTTTTTTCATCATGCTATGCTCTTTTGTTTACATTTTCGTGGGTGAGTTGTCCCCCTTTCATTCTCACGATGTGTCTTAATCGTGTTTTTCAAATTGATTTTGTTAAAAACAATTTTGTTTTTCCCATTTTCAGCGCCGTTAGAACCACCACATGGTAATTTTATGTAGTCCTGTGAAGTTTTGTTGAAATTTTGTTGATCCAAAATAAACGTTACAGACACACACAAAATGCATTTTAAATAAGTAAGATTCTTCCATATATATAATATATAATATATATATATATATATTCACAATCTCATTTATATATATATATATTCTTCATTTCTCATATATATATATATATATATATATTCATTTTCATTTCATTTTCTCATATATATATATATATATATATATATATATTCTTCATTTTTCATATATATATATATATTTTCTCATATATATATATATATATATATATATAAAATGTATTTAGGCAGCATTTTTTCATTTATACATGTTTCATTAAATAATATAGTCAAGTGTTGTCTATTTATTTTATGTAAATTTTTTTCATTCTAGCTGAGAAAAGAGAATATTAACAAACATAATGAGTAAACTTTTGTGAATTGAACTTTGTAATGAATGAAAACAAGTAAAAAAAATAAAAGAAATTTGTAATGAATGAAAACAAATATAGTAAAAAGAAAAAAAAAAGAAATAAATTTGAATAAAAGGATATGCTATGACAAATCGTGTCAATTTTTCATAGTTTTCAATATTCCTTGGGATATAAACTTTCACATTTGTGAACACATCTGGTAATGAATCACACTGAAAAAGAGAAAAAATTACAATCTTTGTTTTTTTAAGAACATTTATGATAGTAAAATACTGGTAAATTTCTTTTTAATTTAAACAGCAACAACCAGAACACAACATTCTACAAATTTGACACATGGCCAATATTTTTAATGAGATGTTTAAAAAAAAAAAAAAAAATCATCATCATCAAATCCTGTGTCTACTTTCCAATGGACAACAGTGGCTAGTTTTGGAGCTCATGTAAAAATAAACCAGGATTCTGAATGCTGATTTTGTGGTTGAGCAGTTTTCTCCTCTCTTGGAAGATTCTGACCTCCAAATTCTCTCTCCATTTAACGTGTACCATGTTTTGATAAAAGATTAGTAAATAGAAAAAAACTCAACAAGTAGACATTACATAAAAATTGAATTCCATTAATTCCTGTGTTGTACAAGTAGCCAAAACAATTCCATTTTTTGTTCAACTAAATTCAGATGAGGATTTGTTTTGATCTCATCAGATTTCTATGTCAATTCTGCTTCAAGTTCATCAATTTTAGACAAAATGAACAGCTGAAAATTTGCTGCAGATTTACTAGAAAAAATAACACAACAGCCAAAACCATTGTGATAATAACAATAAAGATGAGGACGTTAGTCCCAGTGTAAATAATATAAACACAACTTAAAGAAAACTCAAAACCAAATCAACATTGTATCTACCACTACATCTTTAAACTTTTTCTGTAACATTTTTTGGGGGATAAAAAAAAAGTTTTTCTGTTTTTATCAAATTTAATGCAAATTTTGTTTATGACTTATCATTCTATTTCATGTTACAAATCGGTCCAGTTATAAATTTGTGAAAATTGATGTTTCTTATGTTTAATAAGAAATGCTTTTAATGTCTAATTCTCTCGTAAGCCAATGATTTCACAGCCTTGAAGAGCTGAACACAAACCTTATTACTTGTGGTGTTGTTTGCTTCATTGAGTTTTTGCACTTTTGTCACAGGCGCTTCCTGTTCAGTTTTGTTCTCTCCTGTCTGTTTCCTCTTCAAAGTTTTGTCCGAGGACATTTGTCCATTTTTAGATTCAGATTTATTGCTTTCCGTTTCTTCTTTTTGCATTTGTTTTTCTTTGACCGATTCCTCAGATGTCGAAGATTTTGAAGTGACGAGGCTAGGGAAGTTTGACACTTCTTTGGAAACTTTGTAAAGTTCCTGAAAATCAGAAATAGGAATAAATAGTAATTCTGCAAAAAGAAAATTCAATTGCAAAAAGAGAATAACAATGCAATAGAATGTCTCAGAAAAAAAAAAAAACAGTCAACAAAAGCCATAGAATGAAATGTTTGGAAATCAAAATTCATTCAGATTTATAAATTTATCAAACTCCTCCCGTTCCACATAAATGTATCAAACTCCTCCCACTCCATATAAATATAAAAATGTATTTTTAATAAGACATTATCATACACACACACACTTTTTAAATATCAGAGTAGAAAGAAATGATTTTCGAAAATGTTTTAAACCTTTATATTTGAATCAGATGGAAGTTGCAGTACATAATTTAGAGGTCAAACTTACCCAACAGACATAGACTTGAATTAACACTTCTGCATTTTAATGGGTGATTTATCTGCTTATATATGTACAAATGTTCATTTTGAGATACAGTGTAACCTTGGTTCACAAATTTAAGACCATTCGTAATCCAAAATGTTTGTAAACTGAAACTATTTTTCCAATAGGAAAGAATGTAGAGAAAAAAGTCACAGTACAATAAAATTGGAAAAAAAAAGGCACAACACAACACACGAATGTATACAGCACGGCAGTTGACACAGAAATTGTTCTGTTTGGGTTAACTCGGTTTGGCAATGTTGTTCGAGAACCAAAGTTGTACTGTATTTTTTTTTTATTAAAAATACATAAGGTAAAAAATTACCCAAGAAAATAATCTGAAAATATCACCTGAAACACATTGATACAATACTTAAAATTATTTTTTTGTCTTAAAGCATATTTTTCTGATTCAATAAGTAAATTATTTTGATAGTGCAATCTTCATAAACAAACATCAAAATGAGAATGTCAAAACAAATGATGTTTATAAAAAGTAAAAAAAAAAAAAAAATCCTTTTTAATAAATTTGTACTAAATGTTCATCAAAATATTAATCTTGATTTCTGATCTGAAAATCCCAGTCTTTGTTGAAAATGCTCTGAGTATTACAAGATTGAAAGTATCTTTAATATCATCTGAACAAAGCAGCCATTGTTGACATTTTTTCTTTGTTTTAATTAATTATAGACAGAAATTAACAAAACAGATCAAAAGAAATGTAAAAGTATACAAACTTCAATAAATTAAATTTTCTTAAACACTCACTGAGGAATCAAGCTTCTTTTTTTTTTTTAAAGTACAATATGTTAATTATAAAAAATAGGTGAATTTAAATTTGATTCTTAACATTTTTAGAGGGATTTTCTTTTCAAACAAATGTTTGTCATCAGTATTAGACAAGTGATGAAAAGGTATCAGCCAATGATTAAGAAGAAAATTTTGTCTCAATTTTTCAAATAAAATGACATTTCTGTGAGGTGAAAACTGATATTTCTCGTAAGTTAAAGTTATGGCAACCCTAAAAAAAAAACAGATATATAAACATTATGGTGCAACTCTCAATTCATACATTCCAAACTAGTTGCATGATTCATTGTTGATCCTGCCAGGGTCAGCTTCTTTTGAAGAGAAACACACACACACACACACACACACACACACACACACGTTGATATAAAAACCATGCAGTTGGGAAACAATGAGGTTTTTTCTATATATTCCTCTTTGCAAAATGAATTTTTTTTTCAATGCTGTGTCACTTCAGGATGCAGGCAATCATAACTTTCCACAGATTTCACTTCTTTATTTCTGAATTGCTATGCATTCTTTGGAAAGATAGTGGAATCTGGCTATCAGAAGATGACCAAAATAAACATCAAATATGATTGGTAGAAGAAACACTGTAGAAAATATGTTTGCATTTATGTTGAGCTACCAAAGCAACAAATGAATCCATTTTCAACTATCTTAAAACATGCATTTCTTCTAAAAGACTCAAAATCTTAAATAGTGATTCTTGTAAGAAATAAAACCATTTCCTTTTCTTTTTTAATTCATTTAGAGATTGTTAGAGTATTTAAGCATAATCAAATAAATATATGAAGTCATCAGAACAAGAGCCAATTGTTTTAATATAAAACTCTTATTATTATTATTATTATATTTCTGTTAACACAGCAAGAAACTGAAGTCACATGTTTCTACAACTTCCAAATCAGAATTCAAAATAACTGAAAATTTACAATGTATTAATTTTCATATTAACTATAATGATTGAGGAATTTGCAAAAATAAATATTAAAATTCAATAATTTTTACATATTATTTTGTGTGAGAGTAACTTTGAAAGCTTAAACACCACATTGGATGGTATCAGAAAAATTGACTTTTCACAAAAACAATTTTTTTCATAACAAATCTAAATCACCAAGCAAGATTGTTCTCCATATTATCTAATCATTTTTTAAACTACTTTTTAATAAAAAATATATTAATTTTTAACATATCCAAAAAGATTTAAAGTTATTTCGATATTTCCAATAAAACCCAGCTTTTAGAATCAGAAATGAAAGAATTAGGAAAAAAACACAAAGAGCTGAACATTAAGAATCTATTTTAATGTTTTACAAGTTTAGCAAAAGATCATCACCTGAACTGAAATGCTTCCTTCCAAAGAAATGATTAATTCTTTACTTTTTCATTATAATTTTAACAGACATGGCTCAAACTGATGACAAAAAAGACCAGCTTTTGAATACAAATCAATTCTGAATGAACACATTTCTTTTTATTCGATATCCTAAACAGATCCAAGACATATGAACATATAAACTACATTCTTCTAATATTATAAGTTTCAAGAATAAAAGTAATATATCCCTCATTCTGTATAAAAACTGCAAAATTATTTATTATAACAGCTGTTTTTTTTTTTTTTTAACGGGAATAAAATAAACACAAACTTACTCGTAAACGTGGCAGATTTGTGGCTTCTTTCCAAGATTTATCATCCCGCATTTTTGTGAGACGTGGAAACCGTATAGAAATACCATCAGCCGTGTGAATTTCTGCTTTACTAAATTCTGCTCCTGTGATTTCCCATACAGGAGCCTTTAGTGGATCAGCCACAATAAAATCTGGTACAACATGTTTCTTGATATTGAGCCAAGAAGGTACTTTACTCATGTCTTTGTTGATTTTGACCATATCAAGTTCAGTCTGTAAACGGTCCAGAGTTTTGTCATCAAAACCATTACCTACTTTGCTCACTGTACACCATTTTTTGGTCATAGGATCATAAACACCCGTCAAAAACACAGACATTAAACCACCTGAGAAAAGAAAGAAAACAATAATCATTTAAGGATGTGATCAGCAAATATTTAGATGCAGAGCAGAATACATTTGTTAAATTCTTGTCGAATTAGGTTTGGTTTGGTTTATTCTGTTTTACGGCATCAACAAGATTTTTAGGATAGGTTTATATGAATAAAATGTATTCTTAGTAAGAAATCAGTTTGTAGATCAGATTTCATTGACATATTTTTGTAAAGAGGGTTTTTGTCATGAGTCAGATATATTGCTGATAATTTTTTTTCTCAAAAAAAAAAAAAAAAAAAAAAAAGTGATGCTGGTATTTTTACTATAAAAATATATTTTTATACTTTCTATAATGTTTTGACCTCAGTTTGTGGGTTCACTATTTACCCATAGCTGGGATCCTAACAGGTGCTACCACCCTGGGTCAAGGTGAACCTAGGAACAACAGCAACTAAGAGGTGGTTCCATGTTCCTCAAAAGCTCCTGATCAGACGCCTAGCTGACGGATGTAGTTTATTGTCATACCCAGGATGATTGTATAATTAGGTTGAAGGATTAATTAGTGTAGTAATAATCAAAGAAACAGCAACATTTAAGAAAAAAAAAAAACTAAATTAAAAAAATGCATTCCAGTAGTTTAAGCCATTTTCCTCTTGACAGGCACCCAATGTTTCTAATCCTAATCAAAGAAACAGTATGACAACAAATGAGAAAAACTTACTAATATTGTTTGTTTCACATTACAAGATAGAGTTTTCCAAAATTCAAGAAACAAAATTCCCTTTCTATTGTAACAATGAAAAGGAGAGATTTACCTTTGTTGCCTGTTCCATGATAAGCTCCTAAAACAACCAAGTCAGCTGTGTCTGCCATGCTGCCTTGTTCAAGATAATCTTTTTTTACTTTCAACCAATGACGTTTTCCAGGCTCATAAATACTCTATAAAAAAAACAGAACGATAAAATGAACAGACAACTTTAAAATGAAAATCTTCAATCAAATTCAGTCATGTAGAAAGAAACATAAAAAAAAAACATAAGCATGTAATATTCAGTAAAGAGCAACAATTCCATTGCAATATCCAAGAGATTCTGGGGGTAAATGAGGAAATGTGATAAGAATATTTAACCCAAAATTCTATGAAAGTTCTTTGCATTTGATATAAGCACTAAAAGATCTTGAGACAAGAATCAAATAAACCAGTGTTGATGAGAAACGGAAAGACCAGATGTGATTGCTTGATCAGCAGCAAAAGAAAAATAAATTATATGTAAATTGCACAAAATCTTTTGGGTTCAGAGGGAGACATTATGAAAAATTAAAAAGATATTCAAAAATAGTGAGAATCTCTTTTTAAAGTACGTGAACTTAATTAGCAGACAAACGACATCCATAGCCTTTGAAATAATTGAACGAAAAAATATCTAATGAATTAAAACAGACAAGAGGGGAGGTAACTCTGCTTCTTTGATATTCTTCACAATTCAATTTCTTCCCAAATTACTCGAGTTAACAAGTGTGACAAGTATGAAAAATATTCAGCATACAATTAGAAATTCTCTTTCTGAATCCAAAGTTTATCAATCTTTTACAAAAATCAAACTGCAATATTTGTACAGTTTCAATTAAAATGAATATATAAACATTTATTGTTTGTTAATAAAGAAACCTATTTATTGAAACTAGATTGAAATGAAAAAATAATCATGGCTATAAGAAAGATGATTGTTAAAAAAAAAAAGAGAGAAAAGGGGAAAAAAAACTGTTATAAAAATGTGTAAAATAAAAATAACCAATAAACGAAGGGGAAAAAAAATATCAAACCAGTTACTTCATGTTAACAATGCCATTTTGGCAAGAATCAATTAAAGGCACTAAAAATGAAGACTCATTCAGTTTAGTATTTATTATATAGAGACAGTGTAGCAAAAATATCATTTGATGTTAAAAAAAGATTCATACTTGTGTTTTCCATTAAAAATATCATAGTTTTAAATATTACATAATATTTAACAAAAAGAATAATTTCCTCACATAAAACTTCAATTTCAAAATTAAGTTTTTTGTAAAAGAATTTATCAATATCCTCAGTATTTTCTTGTTTAAACCTTTACATTAAAAAAAAATTATTAAAAATCTGTTATCAGATTCAAATGATGTATTTTATAAATTTATTTGGGATCAAGAAAGTTAAACTTATTTCCTCATAGAATATTCACAGCATTTTTTGAAATTACAATACTACTTATTTAGCAGATTTTACCATATTTTACAGTAATTACAAATCATTTGACATGAGACAATATTTTTTATTTAAAGAGAGCTTTAATTTTCTTTTTACTTGTTATATTCACTGAAACTTTTTAAATTTAAAACAATAAATCTTGAAAAGAACAAATTTCCATATCTTTGTTGTTATCACATATACTGTTTTTGTCTAACTTATAAAAGGATTTTAGGCCAATTTCTTTGTCCATATCAAATTAAAATGTTTCATGAAATAAAAAAAGGAAAATATCATAAAATATATTTTTATTCTTAAAAAAAAAAAGCCGTTGGCAGATTATACATACACTAATATCTTTAAGAACAAGGCCTTCCAAGCCTTCTCGGAAAACTTTGGTCATCAGAACTTGAAGATCTTCCTTTTTCTGAAAATAAAATATTTTAAGCATTAATTTGTTAACATCTACATGAAAGTAAATACATTGGTAGTCAAGAAGTTAAAATACTTTCAGAAAATATTCCAGGTTAAATTTGTTTCTCTTATTCCATGTTGCACCACAAATTCAGAAAATTACATTGTCCTATTTTGCTATTCTAGTTTGGTAAGGAAGTAATACAAATTTGGTATTCACTAAGATTAGGTACACACTAACACACATAATGAATATTGTTAGAAATAAAAAGATACTTTGTATAAGGGGGCACTGAAAAGTTTTCAGCTTGACAGAGAAGTGAGGTCTATGAAAGTGAGAAAGTTCAACGTATATAATGAATTCTCTATTTTCAAAAAATACAAAAATTTTGCTCATCTTCACTTCATAATAACTAAATGTAAATAAAGGATTTTAAAAAGTATTTATCTGAAAAATTTTCATGATTAGGTGCAATAACTTGTTAAACATTCAACAGCAACTTTTCACCTTAAAAGGTGCCCACTTTAAGTAATTATAAAAAAATTTATTCAAGACGTAAAATAAAATTTATCTGCATATTAAATTTACAAATATTTCTATGGTAAATAATTTTATTCAGATTCAATATTGATAAAATCAATGAGAAAGAAAATGAGAAACTGGCTTAATGAATTTAACATGGAAGGCATTTGCAGTTTCAGAGCAAAAACTAATATGCATTACACAAAAAACTGTTATGTTTGAATTGTTTTTAACATTTTCAAAATTTTTACAAAAGAATGTACAAAGAAAAAAAAAAAATTCAACTTCAGCCAAAAAAGATATTTTTTTAATGTCTAATATTTCAAAAGGTTTTAAATATAAAAATTTAACCTATTAAATCCTGCCAACATGTGTGTAGACATAGATACATTAATATATGTTCATAGCTTTAATGAATGAAAGCATTTCACATATTTTTCAATATAATCTCATTCTTTAACACAATTCAATGAATATTAATAATATAAATCAAACATTATATGATGAAAATCTAAGACCAAAATTCAGCTAATAACTGTGAGACCACAGATTTATTGATCTTGCTGATCAATATCCCCCCCCGCGCACCTTATTTATTCAATGTTTATTGAAAATATATTCAATAAATGAAAAGAATCAAGCAACTTACTGTGATGTGTTGCATTTCAGAAAACATGACATGATTTTTGATTTCTGTCATATTTTCATGCAGAACTTTTCTCCTTTTCTGAATACTCCTTTAATCAAAGAGAAATTTACAAGAAAATAAAAAACATTCATTTAAGATTGTAACTAAAATAGAAGATGCTGAAGCTCTAAAAATTGAACATGGAGTTGGTCAATTGGGGAATCAAATAAAACAAAGAAAAACAGAAGAAAAAGAAAAACAGAAGAAAAAGAAAAACAGAAGAAAAAGAAAAAAAAGTGTTCAAAAAATTTTATAATAAAATTAAGTAAAAAAAAAAAAAAAAACATTCGATAATTGTTTAAGAGAGTTCACAAAACTGAATTTCTCAAACTTTAATTTAGAAAATTAAAAAGAAAAAATTATAAAAGGAAAAAAGTTTTAGCAACCAAACAGAATAAAAAATAAATTCAAATTCTTAAAGTTTTTGACGATACAAAGTTTCCATAAATAACTCCAAAATGATCATTAAGAATTTTAGTACTTTTTAATATATATATATATATATATATATATATATATGATTGGACCCACATATTCAAGAATACCAATCTACTAGAGCAGTTAGTCAATCCCTATTGCAGACGCCTGATCTATGGTTTATAGTGCAACTATGCTGAGCAGACCTCAGTTTTACTTTCTGGAGAAGAGCATGTTATCTAGCATGATCGACAATTTGAACAAGGCCAACAGACTCAAGCTCTCGGCCACACTCAAGCCTTTGTGCTAGAACAATGATGAGATGCATTGATATGCATCGAAACAACTGCAATTGTGTAGAGATTTTGACATGTTTTCGAGGCAATATCCTAAAATAAAGTGTGTGTGTATATATATATATATATATATATATATATATATAAACTGTATTACAATATTACATTGAAAAGTATGGATACATGAATGTATTCTAAGCAAGTAGAAAAATGATTAAACTCTCGATTTTTGCTTACCAACAATTCAAATTTGGCTATTCTGTTTTAACACATTGCAAAATATTTTGCAATCAGATTTTTTTTTTCAAGTTCACTTTCTGAACAATTTGTTTGCTTCTATGTGCCATTTCCATTCAGGACTTAGGCAATCATGGCTATCCACAACTTCCTATACTTTGTAGCTCTTAATAAGTTTTGTCTTTTCACCATCCTTCCCAGTCCCTGTTCAGCTAGCCATTTAGAGAAACTCATTAGGTAGGTTACTTGCTGTTTCTCTCTTGCTCTCAATGTTTTGTGAATTACAAATTCACCATACCATCTTTACTGTGTCTTAGAAATTTCTACTGTCTTTTTTCTGATTCTAAGTATAAATGACTTTTTGGTTTTTAGTTCCCTTAAAACTTAATCTATTTTCATTTCTTGCCTCATATTCCCAAATTGGCCCCATTGATGTAAATAAACAAAAAAACAAAATTTGTTTTCTTTTAAGAGTAGAAGAAAGAACAAGTTTTTTTTTAGTCTTCATGAGATTAAAATCTGTTCTGAAAGAAGAATAAAAAAAATAAAACACAATGACTCACATAAAAGCAAATAAATGTGTCAGCATTTTCATTACTCAGAGAATTAGGGGCAACATACAAAAATAAGTAAACTGCTTTTATTGCAAGAATGAAAATACTTACAGTTCCATAAGGTTCTTTCCATTAATGTGTAAACAGTCAAAGATAAATAAACAAACATTGGCATCCTTAAAGGCCGCTTTCTAAAATTAAATGGTAAATAAAATAATTACAATCAAATTGAAAAATAAAATTAATGATTTTGGAAATTGAGCTGGAAGGAATTTGACAAAAGCAGATTTTTTTTAATTTTTAACATTTTTCTTTTTACAGAATCTATTGCACCTTATATGCAAAAAGTTAAGCGAATATTTTAATTTCATAAAACAGCTTATTAAAAGACAAATATATTCATTGCTCTCTCTCTCCTATTAAATATATAAGAAATACACTCATACATTTGTATGTGTGTGAATGTAAACATACATTTGATTTGAACATAGAATATTTAAACAGCAATCTTTTATATAATCACAGTCTATAATATATAGAACATGCAAAGAATATCTATAAAACCTTGTGATTAGTTTCTTGTCCTATTATATTAAACACTTTGCTTCAAGTTATGTAGAAAGGAACTTACTGAAAGTAGATACCTTTAAGCTGTCAAGTCAAATTTGCTACTTTCTATACTGCATTCTTTTATTAAAACAAAAAGCAATCTACTAAGTCAAAAATGTATTGAAAGTGCACTACTTTCTGAGTCTTCCCCAGTGAATTTTCATCCAGGATCTTGGGACTATCTCCTTTACTAATAAAACTACTACTACTTCTGCTATTGCAATGTGTGATATTTAGAAACAAAAATAGTAGTAAGCTAAATGAGGTTGACTAGATGGTGTACCTAGACACATTGGATACCAAGAATTAAGAATTTAAAGTGTCTCTACATCTTCAGCATATATATATGTAAATATAAAAGTGGACACTGGGATCAACACCAAGCAGCAACAGTGTTTCATGCTCCAACATAATCTTCAGGCCATGTGCATTGTATTTTGGCTTGACAATTTACAAATGCTGGTCAGTGGTGCATTATGTGTAGTAAGGTCTATTGCATTAACCTGATGGTTATTGGGTGGGTGATAAAAGTTATGTTTTAAATTCCACTACAGGCTGCTGAGTAGAAATAATTGTGGATTCGAATGCAAATATTTGTAGCTAATTTATAGTGTTTTTTTTTTACTCATTATTATTATTTAATTATTTGTGGTTGATTATTATTATGACATTTACTTGTGTTTATGTGTGCATTCATAGTTTGTTAATTTTTTTGTATTTGTTGTTTTTTTTATTATTTTCAGGGTTTGGTTGCCTTATTTGTTTAGTTTAAAGTATTGACTTTGTCAAAAGTATGTTACATTATCTGAATTGTATATAGTACACATATTTGCATTTTACATGGTGGCATTTAACAAAATACAGGGAGTCCTCAACAAGTCAAAGATCTGTTCCTACAGCACAATGTAACCTGATTTTCAACATGGGTCAAAACTCACCTACATAAGCACCCACAAGTCTGCCTTACACTTGGGAGCCATAATGAAGGGCAAAAAGCCCCCCCAAATGACACAAATGAGAGATAGCGAATGTAGCACAATCCAATATGGCACACAGTCGGCGAAGAAACAAAGCCCCATCTTCCTCATATTGCACCACATGATAATGTATTATATTAAGGGAGATGGCACCATAACCATAAAACGCCATATGTGGGGTCTGACATAAGCTGAGGACTTTTTATATTTGTTTTACTGCCAATGCAGGCACAAAAACAAATTCAGAAATAAATAGAAGATATTACTTTTGATGCATCCATTTTATCCATATTTTAATATCATTTTTCTTTTTGAATATTAAATCTTATATTGTCATAAGTGACAATTCAAAGCAAATTGGAAAACACAGCCTTTGACATTAGCAAGTGACAATCATTTCTTTCACAACATCTTTTTTTAATGTAGACTTGCAGAACATTTATTACAGAAAATGACTATTCTTTGACTTGTGTCCATTATAAGAATTGACTCACTTTATGCACGCCAAGGGATCCAAATGGAAGTGGTTTACTTGAAGCATTATCAATGAGAAGTACTTCTGCATCAAGGATCAAATCATTGCCACCAGGAAAGGCTTTTGGAATGTAGTCTTTAAAGTGTGACACCTACAAAACAGCAGCAAACACCTATAGACTTTTATGGATTTCTTAACAATCACACACATTAACACCAACAATCACTAAAAATAGGATATTTGCAGAACAAGGTTTTCTTTTTATTCATCAATATCTTTATTATTTTTTTATTTTCTGTTAATTTTGAATTATTATTATTATTTTCTTGGAAAAAGTTTAACAATTTAAAATATTCTTTACAACTATTCTAATTTTTGTTGTTATTATCCCAACATTTAGGCTATTATGTCCTCCGGCCTTGAAGTGAATTTTGAACCTGAACCCTTTATTTAAACTATGGGGGTAATTTGTTCTCATTCCATGTCTAGGGATATCTTGTCTTGGCCTCTTTTTAGTACTAAAATGAAAAGATGTGATATTGACATATATATATATATATATGAATAAAAACAGACCACTTTAAGGTTCCATTGAATAAGTTATTTCACCACAACCCCTTTAACAGGGCTCTGGATCATCAGACTTTACTTCCAAAGGTTGAAAAAAACAACCTTTTTCAACTTTTGGAAGTAAAGTCTGATGATCCAGAGCCCTGTTAAAGGGGTTGTGGTGAAATAACTTATTCAATGGAACCTTAAAGTGGTCTGTTTTTATTCAAACATATCGGCTCTGAATTTTACATTGAGCTCTCCAGATATCATCCTCCTTGGGTCTACCCATGCAGATTACCTAGTTTTGCATAAACTATATATATATATATATATATATTATAAATTATATATGGATAGTGGAAAGAGAACAATCTACTCCCATAGATTAAATAAAGTTCAAAATTCCCTGAAGGTTACTCTGATCAAGAGACACCTGATGAAGGGTAGTGGGCATAATTTTCATTCTTCTTTCTGTGAAATTTTCTTTCAATGCCAGTAGCAAGACAAGCAACAAGACAATTTTTGTTTGTTGGTTTGATGCTAGGTGTAAATTATTATCATAGCCGAAACGAAGCAACAAGATAAAGCACAGGAATGGGAGAGAGGACTTTTACAAGTACATTACAAACATCACTATCTGTAATGCTAGTTTCCTGTAATAATTTATATCGAATATGAATATAGAAATTGTATTGAAAAGAGAAAGAAACAAAATTGATGCCATCACAATCCTCTTCCTTCTTATATAAAAGAAAAAAATTCAACACTGTAAGTTTGCTATTATTTTTCGACAACTTCCAAGAATCAGAATCCATTTTGCACAACAGTAACTTTTATAAGAAGTAAAACTAGAGAAAGTAATTAACAAGTCAGAGTGAAAACCAATCCAAGGTCACTGTAAAAACTAATAATTACTAACCTTATGTGGCTGTACAGGCTTTAAAGATCGACTGAAATATCGAAATTCATTTCCATTTTTATGCACCTGCACTCTCTCTCCATCGTACTTTATTTCTGCATAAAATCCACTTGGACATTTTCTCATGGCCATCTCCACTGACCGACAAGGTTCAGCCTAGTTAAAGAGACATAAAAAAATAAAGTATAATTTGCATTTATTATTTTTGATTCTTTACTTTTCTTGTATAGTTTTCATTTCCTTACAACAATATTATATAAATTTAGTTTTGGTATCTTTCACAGCGATGTGTACAGAAATAAAGAAGCCGACCCAGAAGCAATGGAAATAGGGAAAGAAGAAAGGAAATAAGAAAATCAAACCACCATGTGCCTTGTCAATGATTCATTTTGACAATTTACTCTTGCTTATAAAAGAAATCATGTGTCAGGCTGGTAATGACCCTCTTGCTTGTTGAATACTTTAATGCATTGCTTTTGATATAAAAATGATTATTTTATCAAGTGTAGTTAAAAGTATACTGCCACAAAGAAAAGAAAGCCAACATTTTGCAGAAATAGAAATTCATAAAAAGTCTATTGACATTATTTACACTTGGACTATTGTCCTGATCTTTGTTGTTATCACATTTAAGCAGTTATGTCCAAGGACTTCTTCAGGAAATTTCAAACTGAATCTTTTCTATGGGGTGGACAGATTATTCTCATTCTGCTGACCATGTCTAAGAATATCCCGTCTACCAGAAAGAGAACAATCTACCCATGTAGTTGAAATAAATGTTGTTAAATATTTGAGCTTAAAAACTTTAACAAAATACACCAATAATCATATATATGAATGCTAGTCATTATTTTAAGAAGTGAGTACAAATAAAAAGATATGAAATTGACAATTTTTTCCATTTCACTGAAAGAACCGTTAAACGTTCTATCTTCCCTTCTTTCTTTCATTTTCTCACTGAAACAAAGTAGCATCTCTGATATATGTTTTGTTTATCAAAACACATGATGATCTATTATTTATGAGTTATTGACAGGAGACATTAAACGCTATCATCTCTTCTTTCTTTCATTTTCTCAATGAAAACAAGAAATGTCTTTTCTCCTCTTTCCACTTTTGATCAAAACAGAAGAAAAGGTGGGGGACAAACACAATTCTAATAGAATGATGATGATGATAATAATAATAATTCCTCATCTCAGAAAATCAATGACAAATCAAAGTTATTTCTGAATTAATGAAGTATTTGACAGGCATATAGTTTTATAAAACTAATAATAACACACACAGCTTATGAACCTTTAAATTCTCAGGATTATAAAGGATTTGCATTCTAGTCACGGATAAGTTACAGTTAAGACATCAAATAATAATGAAAATTTTGTATTGATCCAAAATGGTAAATTCCAGAAGTGGAAATTATTTCATGAAAACCTTTAAATGATGAAAAACATTAAAAAATACTTTATGAAATTTCAACAACTCAAAAGAAAAAGAAAATAATTTTACAAAATGAATGCAAAATATATCATCCTCTGAGTGTTGGAAAATTTATACAGTCAATAAAATACAAAATGTACATTCGTATGTCTTTCTTATTTGAAAATAAACTTAGTGAAAATCTCTTAGAAATCAAGTCTTAATGAAAAATGTGTATAAAGAGAAAGAAAATGATTCCAACCTACCAACATTGGTAAAACTGGTGTCATAAGAGACGCCCGAACAGAAAGTGATTTGCTACCCATGCCAGGTTTTTCACCACTGTCCCGATTAGCAATTACTCTGTCAACAACATCTCGTAAATTTCGGGAAGCTTGAAATGCTGCATATGCATTTGGATCAAGACCATCAAGACTAAAAACAATCACAAAAAAAGATTGAAAAATAATTTCTAAACTGGCAACAAACAAAACAAGAAATGGTGATAGATTTGCTTTATTTTAAACAAAGAAAATACACAAAATTATTTCGTAAGTGGTTAATAAATTCTGAACATTTTAAAAATAGAAATCAACTTTGTACCGGTAGCAATTTTTTTCTTGATTAGCACATCCTTTCAAGATTTTAGGATTGAAACAAAATAGCAACAAAAATAATAAATCTACCTAAAAGATTTTTTTTCTGAATATTTCTCCACTTTTAAATGACAATTTGAACACAATGAAAATAACTGAGTAAAAAATTTGCTGCTTGTTTTACATTTGATATCACACAGGGGAGCGAGAGGGATTTATTATGAAAGGAATGAAAAGTTTCATTCACTCTTGATTACATAGTGACAACAAATTCTGGTGATAGAGTAAAAAGAAAATGAAACCAGAATCATTTTAATACCAACTGAGGCTAATTTATATAAGCAACCCTTTTTATTTTTGCTTATCACTGTCCAATGATTTTACTGTTACTCTATTTCTGTTTAGTTTTGTTTTCTGCAACAAATAAAATCTTTCTGGCTGCAGGAGAAAAAAAAAACAGTTGATGAAAGTGAAAAGGTAAGGTAAACTATGAACAATGTTAAGCGATGTCTAATAAATGAAAGTGAGTAAAATGCTATTGTTGAAATTTTTTTCTCTTATTTGTTAATATTTATTATTTCCTTTTTTTTTTATTAATGCAATTGTTATTTATTATTATATGTTAATTTTATAAATTCTTTATGTATTTATTTATTTTAAATAATAGAAGATTTGGATTTAACAATTTTCATTCAATTTTTAGAAAGTATTATTGGTCATGTATGCTGGCTTGGGAAAAAAGTATATTTTTTATGAAAGGAGATATTTTTAAAAATCTCAAGCGCCTATTTACATTTTGGCAAGATGCAATAGTGGCACTTTCAAGAACTTTCCATCTAAGTCAGTTATTTTCTCTTTTAATAAATGTGGTATTCTTTAGATTGAAACAATTGTTAAATTTGTTTCTATATATGACTAGTGTATTTTTTTTTGTGTTCATAATTTAAAATTTCTGCCTATTTCTCTAATATATTGTAAAGAACAGTTGTAACAGATTTTATATATACCCAATTCAGAATCATTAAGGATATTTTTGATTCTGATCATATCAATACATGAATATAAATATTTTAGAAAAATTCTATTTAAACTATTAAAATTACTAAAACAGTGATATTTAGAATTCTTCAAAATATAATCTTTTCAGTCGTTGCTTAAATTATGAGAATAAATGAATTAAATGTGAATAATGAATAAATCCAAAACAAAAAGAAACAGTTTCCAACTGAACTACTGTTTCTAAGAAAGAATTATAGACATAAACTTACATATGTTTGGCACCTGAGTTAATTCTCAGATCATGTTTAATGAGGCGTATAACCATTTTCAGATCATTACCAGTACACCTAAAATCAAAGAAAACAATCTGATCAACACAAACCCAGCAACACAGAGTGATGACAGAGTGCTAGAAAGTTAGCAGACTGAACAAAGAAAAAAAAAAAAAATAATCTGATAAACTCAGGCCATGAAAAATAAATGTTATCCCACATATTCTTCCCAAAATTTCTTTAGCACTTCAAAATTTGAAATTTGGTCATTGAAATACAGATTTTGGAAAATGTCGGGCCAAGAACTTTTCAGCACCCTCAACATAATCACTAAAATTATTAAACATTAAATAATCTAAAGAGAGGTGGTGGTGCACATTAGAATACATGTAGGACAATATTTTATTTTTGGTTCAACATTACATTTGCTCATATTTAAATGAAATCTGCAGAACTACAGAGACAAGGCAAACAAAGTTACAAAACTTCCAACACAGAATCCAGGCACATTTTCAAAAGGGATTCTTGCAGGCACGTTTCCCCTCCAATTTATTTATGTTTGGTTAGCAATAAAAAATGTTCGTTAACAACTTTTATTACTAACTTTACTAACAAAAATGTTAATTATAATTTTGTTGTGTATCAATAGGGAGGAATTAAAAATGGAATTGATACAATGCTCATCATTATTTACAAACTCATTTCCAAAAAAATTATTATTATGGTATTGGTATTCAAGAGGTCATTTGAATTTATTATCAATTTGATTTAAACAGCATAACAAATAATTATTGAATAAGTAAATCTCAGAATTAGAAACAGTTGGCATAGAATGTAACTCAGAAAAATAATGCACTGATTAGTACCAACCATAAAAAGAAGGAAATAAATCAGCTACTAATGATTTTAAAGTATAGGTTAGAGAAACAATCATGGTCAGATATTTTCCCCATTTTATCTGAAATGAATATTTATAAATGTCAAATAGGTTAAAGTATTCTATTGACAAAATAATATTTTGACACAAACCATTTGATCAAAAGTAAGATTTGATCAAATTTCTATCAAGATATATTTTAATATAAATGCACAAAGAAACAGTAATTTTTCTGCTGCAGAACAGGGTCAATTATTTTATAGAATTTTGCTTACTTTTTTGCAATCTTAGAGAGACATCGAAGCTGATCATCTTCTTTTGTTAATTTTGATAAATCAGTGAGGAGGGAATCAATCTGTAAAGAAAAAGGCAAAATTATTTCTAAATATAACTAAAAAGAAATGAAAAAAATAACAGTGATGCATTCTTCTAAAATCTAATACAAAAATTTCAGGATTTACCATTAAAAAAAAAAAAAAAAAAATGCAATGATTAGCGCATAAAAAGAAATTTGAGTTTTCACCAGCAGCAAAAAAAAAAAAAATTAAGTAAAAATAAGTCAATAAATACCCAGCTGTTAATTTCATTTTGTCTCCATTTCAATAAAAATTAAATTTATCTTAATTTCAAGATAACTTAATGCATTTATCATCATAACCAAAATGCTTAGTCAGATAGAGTTTGGAGATTTAATTACTGAAAGTCATTTTTTGCATTTAATAAAATTAATGCTATTAAGAAACATTAAATGCAAAAATTAAGTCATTTAGTGTAATAATAGCACTAGGTACTTTTAGTCCAAGTAACAAGTGTTGTTCCTACATTAAACAACTAAAAACCCTGATTCCAGAAAGAATAACAGAAACAAGATTATATCTACTTTATTCCACAATAATGGTTACAGCCTTATAGAAAGATATTACAATATTTCCTTAAATATGTAGCAATATACATCAAATTCCAGGGATATCAATGAATATCAATATTAAATGGAAACATCTTAATTGTCACAAAAATTGTTTCAAACATTTATTTGTCCTGATGATTATCAACTAAGTAAAGTGATCATCACAAGGACCATAGAAAATGACCCTGGCAAAATAGGTCACTAAATAAATCCAAACCTTAATAAATTACCTTTTTTTTTAGACAAAGATGACAAGACAAAATACAATGTTCTGTATAAAACAGGGGTCACTACAACAGAGTGGCAAGAGACCACCTCGCTACAACACTACAGGATGAGTCTTTTCACCTCTCCTTGCCTACACTCTGTTTCTGTCTTCTTTATCTAAAGCAGAGGGTTACAAACAATAAATTTTCTTACTGCTACGATAGTATCATGGTATATTTTGTGGTTAACGATCTGATCAAAAGAGTCCTTCTTTTAAAGCCACAAGCATTTGAATGGAAGAAGTTGTCTCCTAAGAACAAACCTGGGATCTGGTCTGAATTGCAATGCCACAACATGTTTTAGTTCTGTATTGAAAAATGTGAGATTATAATGTTTAGTTTTGAAGCATATCTCAGCTTCAGAATGATTATAAAACAATGTCAAATACACTGAAATTTCTGACAAAAGCAAATTAAAAACAAAATATTTTTGTACATTACTTCTTGTAATGTAATCGTACTCTTCTTTTGAGGTAACAACTTCTTGTTTGTTTCGAAAAATATTCGAACAGTTTCGGCAACATCACCCTGAAAAGAGAAAAATCAAATTGTGTTGTCATTACTGAAAATATCCATCATTTTGTAGGATTAATGGTTACCTACAGCATTAAGCCTATAAAATATATAACTTAAATTTACAAAAGGGTTCAATTTTTTCTTTTTCAATAGTTTTCCCCACCATTTTCGTTCTTTATTGCTTAATACAAGTCTTTTGACTTTCATTTTATCTTTTTTTCCTTTTCTGTCACCAACTATGGGACTATATGTGAATTATAATTAATTGTAACTAATTCTTGTTAAACAACTTATTTAGCAACATTGTTCACCCCTCTTTCCGCATTTTTTTTTTCATAATGATCAAAATCGTAAATTTTAATTTTATTTGTTAATCTCACACATTAATTTTACAACGTTAATCGACAGATTTAATCAAATTTTCTAAGTTTACTCATTTAACTTGTTTTAAACGACATTTATTTTTATATTTATTTTCGTTTTAACACACTGATTAAGTTGTAATTTATTATTTTAATCATAAAAACAATGTAAATTTCTAATTATTTTAAGGTTACATCTTTTTTTATTATTTTATTTATTTATTTTTTTCCTTTACTAACAGTAACTATCAGCTGGGGAGATGAAACTTGAAAAAAGTAAAAAAGAAAAAAAAAAATGGAAATCACATAAGTATCTGATGAGTACCCACATAAAAAGAAAAAGTAAAAAAATCCCCCATAAACAACTTAAATAGAGCTCACACCATTGTGATTGGCTGTTGGTCAACTTCCAATGAAATGCGTGACAGAGTGGTATGGTTTGCCTAATATAAGTCAGTGTCTGCAGGCTGTTAATTTAGATGGGGGAGTACATCAGGAACTGATTAGCTCTGATGGAGTCGACTTGGTGAGGGTAGTATGATGTTTGAAAGACCCAAAACTGCCCAATGACCCAATTCAGAACATCACTGACGATACCCCTTAGCGCTAAAATGCGTATATTCAAAGAATTATAAATTCTATAACAGACATATATATCAGAACTATCAAGAAAGCAAGCCTTTTATTTTGAATAAGTTACATTTGAAAAACATCAGAAAATCTATTTTCAATAAATCTTTCTATTTTCTTTCTATTTATATTTTATGTTAAAGAATCTTGCAAATGTCAGCAAATTTTTTTTCTTGTTTTATTATCCTAAGCGTGTCTATTTATAGATTAAAATCAAAAATTGAATTCTGAATAATGAAATATTTGCCAAATCAATTCTTATATAGAAATTAAAACAATATTAACAGTTTCATTTCTTTAGATAATGGGGAGGATGCAGAGGTTCAGCTTGAAAATGCTTTCAAAATATCAACATTACAATAAATTAAAAACTGTACAGATATAAAAACTATAAAAAAAAGAAATGATTAAGAAAGCAACATCTACATTCAGCTTACCTGTTCCAAATCATTTACCATTTCTTCAAGACTTGTATTAAAAATCTGAAAACAAGAGTAAAATACACATCAAACTGAATCAATTCAATCAATCAAAATTTTCTTAAAAGACTAAATATGAATTGTGAATAGTGAAATGGAATGAGTCGGAAATATTTCAAGTCTAAGATCATTTATTAAAGGAACTGCCAATTATCTAATCCCTATATACGAATGCAAGTCTTTTGCATGAAAACCAATGATTTCTTCATAAGGGTTGATAAACTTTTTTATCTAATATGTTAATGCCAAATTGTCATCATTTCATCTGAATACTTGTAAAATATTTAATCATCAAAGTAAAATTAATGTAAACATGAAAAACAATTTCTTTAACTTAAGATTTCAAGAAAGATAATGAAAACTACTTTGTGTTAGTCTCACAATCATTTTTAAAATATTACAAAGTCATTTTTTTCTAACACTACATCAGGGATCACTAAACTTTTTTTCCCCAGAGGGCCAGATAACTGAGAGAATGACAAGTGCATGCTGGATAAGCATTTTGTTCAATACAACATGAAAAAAATGAAGACAACAAACATTTATTTACCAAAAACTTATCAAAGGCAGTGAGTTTAGCAACAAAATATTTATATTACACCCAGAGCACACATATTTGAATCAAACTAAGCAGCAAAAAAGGTTAGTGAGATTTGGGAAACTGGCGTTTATCTTTTAAGATATAATCAATATTTGCTTTGGAATTGCTTCATTCAACCAAGAGAATTGCTTTCAAATGTTCATCAGTTAACCTTGTTTGATATGTTGACTTTACATACTTCATTTTTGAAAATATTTGATCAAAGACATAAGTTGTTCCAAAAACTGATGCCATACCAAAGAAAAATTTCTTCAACTTTTACTTGCTTGCAAATCAATGATTTCGACTGTAGTTCAACTGGCACGTCATCAAGGTTACAATCAAACTTATTCTGGAACAGAAGAATATCATTCTCAATTCTCTCAAGATCTGAAAATTTCTCAAAAAATGCTTATTTAAGTCATGATTAATGTTCTTTGGAAACTCAAGGTGGACATCTATGCGTTTCCATTGCAAAACTCTTTGAAACACTGAAAATGAGAGAAATGTCTTCCTTCCAGTTCACTGATGTTCCTAAAACTTATATTACTGTCAAATGCAAAAATCAGATTAGCCAAATTTTAGCATTTTTACTTACACTTATTTTCAATTTTTCTACCTAGTAAGTTTAACTACAATCCATATAAATAATTGTATTTTAGCTCATTTGTGGCACAATCTGTTCACGAGCTGGATGAACTGTCATCACGGGCCGGATCTGGCTTGTAGCTTAGTGACCCCTGCACTACATGGAGTAAAACATTAAATGCATATAAATAATGTCATATATATAACTAATTATTAATATAACATTTGTTTAAATGATAATTAATAGAAAATAATCAATTATATAAAAAAAATGATAAAATATAAGAAAAATGACCCAGACAAGGAAACTGACAAGTTTATTTCCTGGCAGCTTCTGGGATGGGCAGCAGTTCTCTAATTGCATAAATAGGTAAGCATCAACAGACTGATACCTTGGCTTGATATGTAAAGGTTGAGGGTGAATGATAAGCCCCATGACATGGATGAACCATTTCTAGTTAGCTGAATATTGTGGTTGCTGCTACTACTGAATCATACTTATAACAGTGTGTAAGCAAAATTGAAAAACAGTAACAAAAAGAAGAATAAAGTCTTGAGTGTCTTCTTAAAAGTTATTTTAAAACAAATTAAGGAATATATATGACATTTTGAGTTTAGTTTTTTTTTTCCTTTTTGTTTTGTTTTCTACTAAATCCTATAAACAAATTATTGTTTTAACTGTGTGGTAGGTTACAAAATCAAAATAACAAAGATGACATCAAATAGAGACAGTCAATCTAATGTTTATTGTTAATGGCTACAAATGGTCAGACATTAAAAGGAAATTAATAGTACCACCATCTTTGAATGAGATTTTCTTTAACAAATGCTATGTAAAAAATTTACTTTTCCATTGCTCTCAATATCCATTTTTCTTACTCTGTGATTTCAATATATACAACATCTATATGATATGTGATATTTCAATTCATTTTTGTTACTCTGGCATTTCTTATCACCATTCTAAGCAACTTGTATAATATCTGTAAATATTCATTTGTAAACCTATTCTCAGCACAAACATCGACTTCTCTTGAAATATTCAAATTTGAAAAAAAGGTTTTTTTTCCAATTATGATATTTTCTGGTGGCAAAGGCACATTTCCACCCTGCAAAAAATAAGTCTCAAAAATTTATCTTGAATTTTATCAGTCAAGTGCTTCCTTCTTTTTTTTTTCCTTTTATATTCCTTCCATTTTTTTCAATATTTTGCAAGTCAGTCTTGAGATACGCATTTGAAAAGAAAGATACTTAGCACCAAAAAATACAGCATTGAAATTTAATAATTTATTGCTTTAAAAGAAAAAAAAATCAATGTTAAAATGCAAACAGATGTTTAATTTGCATAAATTCAAATTTAATTAAATAAACTTTTATCTTTCAGATTCATTCTTTTATAATTGCTCTTTAAAAAAACTTTGAATTCTGTACATTCTTAAAATTATTTTTGTGAATGTGTTTTTGGGAGAGGGTTGATTTTTACATTTGTAATTAAATATCAACAACTGATTGATGATCATCTCTAAAAGTATTGATTACTCTAGGAATTCTGCATAAGCGACAAGTCTGAAATGATAATTCTTTTGATTAATGATCTTGGGATTAAGTCATGCCAAGCAGCTGAGAGCCATTGGCCAAGGAGTAGCCAAGGTAGCAGGTGCAGATGAGACACCAAGGGAGGTGAAGCAGCTACCCACACCCATTGAGAAGTGTTAGTGGGAGATGCTAATAAGAGAAGGAAGACATTGTGGAGGTGGATCAATACCTGTGACTGTTACCCATGGAAAAGGTGGATCTCCCAAATTGGTTAGTAATTAATTTTCAGAACCGTGACAGAAGAAAGGGATCTTTGTGAAAGGTAAAGTAAATAGTGAATTCCTCAACTGAGTTATGCCCAAACCGGTTTTGGGTGAATATCAATAAATATGAAAGAGTCGAAGCGAGAAAGAGAGAGATTGTTCCAAACATCAGATGAGAAACGCCCCACGTGATTGCCTGCTTGAAGAGAATCTCCAACATCAGCCTTGTGCCAAAATTTCCCAAGCCAGCTAAAGTGTCATGTCTAAAATAAGAAGTAGGTTGGGTCGATAAACATCTGCATGCGAACTGCTAGACTTTGTCAACAAACTAACCAACTATTGTACAAAGGAACTCATATGTAATCATATTATCTTTTTTTATCCAAGTTATTTCTTTTCCTTGAGTCTTCATTCCACTTGGACCAGCCTAATATGAAAATAGCTGATTACAATTTGATCCTGGCTGACCTTATGATCAAAACTAATCTCAACATGGGATATGTCAAGGCCTGGATCAAAGCAATCACCTTATTGATTAGCCGTGGGTATCAGACATTTGGACGACCGGGAGGGACTTGAGGGTGACAGCTGGTTGCCATGGACCAGGATGGAATCGGAAGGTGACAGCTGGTTGCCATGGACCAGGATTGAAGGTGACAGCTGGTTGCCATGGACCAGGATGGAATCGGAAGGTGACAGCTGGTTGCCATGGACCAGGATGGAATCGAAGGTGACAGCTGGTTGCCATGGACCAGGATGGAATCGGGAAGGTGACAGCTGGTTGCCATGGACCAGGATGGATGGAAGCTGGTTGCCATGGAAGGGTGACAGCTGGTTGCCATGGACCAGGATGGAATCGGAAGGTGACAGCTGGTTGCCATGGACCAGGATGGAATCGGAAGGTGACAGCTGGTTGCCATGGACCAGGATGGAATCGGAAGGTGACAGCTGGTTGCCATGGACCAGGATGGAATCGGAAGGTGACAGCTGGTTGCCATGGACCAGGATGGAATCGGAAGGTGACAGCTGGTTGCCATGGACCAGGATGGAATCGGAAGGCAACATAGTTATTAATTTCTTTTTTCCATATGGAGTAAATTTTACCGAAAGATTAAAAATATTTTGGTTTCTCATCTATTTTTCTTCCTTTTTATCACAATGTCGTTCATAAAAGACAAAGAACACATCCAGTCTAGTCCTTCTGCTATATATTTAAAGATTCTTGAAACAAATTTGAAGAATATGCAATGTTATTGATCCTGACCTGGCATCTCATCTTCAGTCCCTTTCCCACCGCCGTAACGTAGCTTCCGTGTGTCTTTTCTATAAATACTTGGTAATTGTTCTGATGAACTTTCCTCTATAGTATCAAGACTTTATGAATTTAAGTGCAGTACTAGATTGGCAGTAATGTCTCATCATTTTACAGTTCTTTTACACACAGTAACCCCTTGTGTCTTAGTGGCTTTAATGCCTTGCTTGGTGTGATATGATTAAAAAAGAAAATTATGGGAGGCAACTTTAAACTTCTGTTTGAAGCTTTATCTGAATTTTCTGCAGTTCAGTTCAACAACTGAAAACCAATTAGCTAAAAATAAAAAAAGCATAAAAATAGAAGACAAACTATTATGTGAAAATAGGTCATGTAAAATAAAGAAAAAAAAAATGACTCAAATGTTGAAAGATGAAACATGCAATTTTATTTCTTTCCCATTCCTTACCTGACTGAACAGTTTCACTAACTGTTTACTGTTTAAATTATAAACCACTTTTACAACTCCAGGCAGAAGCAGCTTTAACCATAGATAGGTATCTCCACTAAATCCATCTAAATGTGGAGGAGGGAGAAAAAAAAAAAAAAAGAAGATGAAAAAGAACATGCAGCCCAACAGATTTTTCATAATATTTCTAGTTTAAAAAGTAGATGAAAATTCCTAAGAAAAATTACCAAAAAAAAAAAAAATTAAATTTCTGATTTTCTCAAATGTTAGTTTTGGAATAACATTAAATTTGGAAGATGAAATAAAACAACCCTAACAGCATGACATTTGTACAAAGATAAGAAATTAGACTCAAGTGACCCGTTTTTAAAATGTACTTTAAAAATTCTTTGCCATTAATTGCTACTAATAAGATATGAACATTAAAGCGATCAAAAAGCTCAATTCATTCAAAATAGAACTCTAGTGAAATAAAATTGTATACAATACAAACACATATTTAATAAGAGATGTATTAATTCGGTAATGCCAAAATCAAGTGAATAAAAACTTTTCTATGACACTAATATTATTATTGGTAATGACTGAAAAAGGGTTAAAAAAAAAAAAAAAAAAAATCCAATCCAGATGTGTGACAAAATGTGATGAAAGTAAATAGATCTTGTTGATGCACTTTAGAAAACACATTTGAATGAATTGTTACTACTGAAATATGCATTATATATGGAGGTGGTGCTGAAAAGTTCTAGGCCCAGCCAACAATAGACTTCCTCCAAAATCATGACATTTGGTCATTTGCTCAGATTTTGGGAAGTGTGCCTGGCTGAAAGCTTTCAGTACCCCCCGCCCCTTTGTATTATCATGATATATGATACAAGGGGGTGCTTTCAGTACCTACCTCATATTTAACACATATGATATCATGACAGTATTAACCATTTCCCTACAAGGAAACATTTACCATTAAATGACCAAGCAGCCAGTATTGCCTTTGATTGAAGTTTATAAAATCTTTCTTTAAAAACAATTTCAGTAGCTCATTCTTTCCAGTATTGATGAGGGTTTTCTTCCTAAGTTTTTATTTTAAGTAGTTTGGAAAGTGTTGATATGTTGAGTGTTTCCCCGTGCGTGTATTGAAATAAGGACAAACACATACATAGGGAAAAATACTGGTATATCTGAAGAGGTATTTACAACAGAGAGATTAGTAGTCAAATGAACGCAGGTTAGTCAGTAACAATCAGAAAGAGTATAAAGTCCAACTGTATCTTCCGGTAGAGAGACGGAAGTGTGATGGTCAGCTGATCTTCTCAGAACTCTATAGAACTGTCCTATTAGTAGTAGAGAGATCAGTCCATTCTGATGAAAAGGTGGGTGCGCCCCAACACCCCCTCCCTAAAATTGTTTTTTTCATTGTGAAGGAAAAAAAAAATTTTTTTCAATATTTTTTCCTTTTCGGGTCCATTATAAATTGTTGCATCGTTTTTCACTTTCTACCAGATCTGCGCTGTTTTTGCTCTGTCTGTGGTACTTGTAAATCAAAAGTATCATATAATTCATCTTCTACTTGCGGAGTTTCTTCCGATTCTTCAGTACTCCTTTTCTTTAGCTGGTTGATGTGCCTTTTATGGGTAAATTTTTTCCCTTTTACAATGTACACCATATTCCCAATCCACTTTTGTATGACTCCTGGTTCCCACGATGTCATATTATTTTTATAATTCTTGAAAAAAAATTTTTCATTTGTGTAGAATTTTCGCTTAGGAACCATTGCGACTGGTGTGTGTATCTTATTTTTAGGTATCAATTTATCAAATGCAGATCTGATCTTCTTTGCAAAACAGTAGCTCCAAGAGGTGATAGGCTTGATGGGGCAGATTTATTCAGAGTAATGCGGCATACTTGCAGGAATAGCTTTCTAGTCGGGGTACCCGTTGTTTTTCTAAGAGCCCTTTTTAGCGTATCAACAAACGTTTCGGCTAGTCCGTTTGCTGCGTGGGTGATATGGAAGAATCCTCACGTGATCCACTTGAAAATTCTGGCAGAATTCTGCGAATTCTTTGCTCATGAATTGAGTACCGTTGTCACTAACCACAGTATCTACCACTTCAAACCTTGCAAATAATTTATCGTATTTTGTGAGGTTGGCCTCTTCATTTGGAAAACTTCAGGCCATTTACTATAGCTGTCAACTACGACCAAATAATGCCACCCGTCAATTGGACCTGCAAAATCAATATGAATCCTTGACCATGGCTTGTTGGTTTTTGGCCATGGCTTCTGTAGAATTTGTGGTGATTTTGATGCCAAAATGCAGCCTTTACATCTGCTGACCATAGACACGATGTCGTTGTCCATACCTGGCCAGTAGACGTATGCTCTCATGAGGCTCTTCATTCTATTTATGCCCGGGTGACCAGCATGAAAATCTTTCAATATTCTTTTTTGGAGTGTACTAGGGATTACTACCCTTTCACTATATATTAACACATTATCACACAGAGAGAATGTCTCTTGAATTTTTTTCGTCTTTTTTAGCTAGCTTGTCTTTTATTTCCATAATATATTTGTCCTTTTCTGCCTCTTTTTTGATGTCCTTAAGCGATACTGGTAATTCTCAAATTGCGTTCACCAAATTTTCTTCAACCTCGTCCTCTGCTCTGAGGGATGCGATTACCGTATCCTCTAATGGTTCTGTTGCTTTCGGAATGAGTCTTGATAGACCGTCTGCGTGACCAATTTCATGGGTGGACAAATATTGTATTTTAAAGTTATAATTTAGCAAAATTGTTCCCCACCTAAGCAATCTATTTGCGGTGTATGTTGGCAGACCCTTCTTCAAACCGAATATCGTTACCAGAGGCTTGTGGTCTGTCTGCAGCGTAAAATACCGTACATCTATGTATCTATGGAACTTTGTTACAGCGAAGATAATCGCCAATGCCTCTTTTTCGATTTGTGAATAGTTTTGCTCAGCAGGTAGTAGCGATCTGCTTGCATGAGTGATCGGTCAAACTTTACCATCCTTCCACTTGTGCAATATGTACGCACCTACGCTGTGTATACTGGCATCGCTCGCCACGATGATATCTACTTTTGGATCAAAATGTACCAGAAATAAATCTGATGTCAACTTTTCTTTCATATCCTTAAATGCTTGCTCGCATTCTTTTGTCCATATCCAAGGTTTTTCTTTTTTTAGTAGATCATTAAGGGGAGCTCGTAGAATGTGGAGGTCTGGGATAAAATCCTGGTAATATGACACCAAGCCTAAAAAACTTTATAGGGATTTAATATCCTTTGGCTCAGGCATATCTTTTATTGCTGATGCTCGATTTTTATCTGGCTTTTTCCCTTCTTTATTTACTATATGTCCCAGATACTTGATCTCCTCCAGGAAAAAAAATTGCATTTGTTTTCTTTCACTCTAAACCCATAGCTTCTTATCCTTTCAAAAACTTTACGTAAATGGTGTGTGTTCATCCACCAATTCACTTCTCATGAGTATATCGTTGAGATATGCTATCGTGTAGTCTAAATCGGATAACATAGTATCCATTATTTGTTGGAATATTGCGGGTGCTGTCTTCACCCCGAACGGTAAACATTCGTATCTGAACAAGCCTTTATGCGTGTTAATGCATAACAACTTTGCGCTTTCATTATCCATGGGTACTTGCAAGTATGCCTCGCTAAAGTCTATTTTTGAAAAGATTTTTCCACCATTTAACTTTGCAAACTCTTCTTCGGAACTTGGTAGTGGATAGTGATACTCTTCTATTGCATCGTTTAACCCGGTTGAAAAATTTTTTTGACCAATTTCACCCGACTTCTTTTACGTAGACAGCCAGAGCTGCCCAGTCACTGTATTCCGTTTTTGAAATCACACCAATTCTCGTTAATCTTTCGAGTTCTTGGTCAATTTTTTCTAATGTGGCAAAAGGGATGCTACGCTTTTTTTTAAAAATTGGTTGAATATTTTTCTTCAGCTCTATTTTTGCTGATGTTTCTGTGCAACGTCCAAGTCCTTCAGCGTAAACTTCAGGGAATGCTATTTTCAATTCTGTTTGTAAATTTTTTATGTTGTCTTTGCTTTCACTAATGTTGTTACAAAAAGAACTAATGGGAACGTTCCATAGATTGAACTTAGTGATTGCGTCAGTCCCAAACAGGTTGTTCGTGTTTTTCATTACAAAAAATTTCATTTTTATAGACTTGTTGTTGAAGGTTATATTCACCCATATTTCACCTTCAAATTTGATCTTTTTTCCAGTTACCGTCCTGGCTATTTTGTTGGACTTTAGCAGAGTTGGCTTTCCTAGATTTTTCCATGTTTGTGTGTTAATAATTGAAATGTCAGATCATGAATCCGGTTGCATTTTAACTTTCTTGTTGTACAGTTTTACATGTAGGTATTTTCGGATATTCAGGTCATGATCTTCATCTGACTTAGTAACTTTTACTCGACTTCTGCTTAATTTTCTACACTTGGACATCTTATGTCCTACTTTCCTGCAATTTCTGCAAGCTTTATTTTTATATGGACAGTCATATAGTCTCTGTTCATTCTTGTGGTAGGATACCACTTCCGTTCAGGCGATGGAGAACGGAAACGAGTCTTCCTATTTACTTTCTTCACATTTGCGATAGCAGTTTCTTCTATTTTCTCTGAATCTTGCTTAATGCTTACGCATTGCTGACAGTACTCTGCTAGCTTTTGTAGTGTCGTGTTTTGCTCATTTTCTAGCTTTGCTAAAATGTGTCTTTGCATTTCGCTATCTTTTTTAGACATTAAGCCTAGCACGAATATTAGACACTTGAAATTGTCTGCCGATAATTCGAACAAGCGAAAATCGTCACACGTCTTATTTACGATTGACACAAAAGTCATGTAGTCTTCCTGCTCGCTTTTTTGAATATTAAGACATTTCCACCTTTTGTGAAATAATGATAATCTGGGGTTGAAGAACTCTTTTAGTAATTCAATCGCTTCGTCGAATTTTAAATCTCTTGTCTTTTTGGGTAATATAAAGTCCGTAAATTTATTATGTTCTGCCGTTCACAAATTCCGTAGTAACAATCTTATCTTTTTTTCATCTGGCCATGTTTGGCAATTGACTTCATAAAAGTCCTGATATCTATGATAATATCTTTCGAAAGTTTTTTCCTCTTCTGGGTTATAGGTAAAACTTTCGATAAATCATTTCATATTGTGTCTTGAGAAAAAGTACTTTCATCCAAGTCTTTCTGCTTAGACAGTATAGCTTCATGTATAAGTTCAGTCATTGCTAACTGTTTCTTTTCATTTTCTTCTTGTATTTTATTGTTTTTCGTGTAGCTCCAGAAATTGTTTTGCATTTTCTTCAATTAACCTTTCCTTTTCTTCCTTTTGTTCTTTCTGAAAACGTTCTTCACTCTCTTGTTGTCTTTGCATCTGATATTTAATGAGTTCCAGCATAGATGATTGAAATTGCTCCATGATTATGTATGTGTAGAGAAAAAAGAAAGCAAAATTATGTGTGTGTGTTTTTTTCTCTCTCTGAGGGGGAGGGGGCAATAAATTAATCAAATTCTCTGGCACAACAAAAAAAATTTTTTTTTTTTTTAGCACAAAAAATTGGTTATTATAGATTCCAATAGAATAAATAAGTTAATGTCTAACTTAGTTTTTTTTTTTTCTTTTGTCGATAAACTTTTCAATCCTTTGCTGTGAAAAAATGCTTGAACTCTTTAAATTTTCCCGTGTTGAAATCGTTTCTTTCGCTGTTGCGATATTTATTTTTTAACGTAAGTTCTTTTTATCCATTCGAATCCTCGTCGCCACTGTTGAGATGCTGAGTGTTTCCGCGTGCGTGTATTGAAATAAGGACAAATACATACGTAGGGAAAAATACCGGTATATCTGAAGGAGGTATTTACAACAGAGAGATTAGTAGTCAAATGAACGCAGGTTAGTCAGTAACAATCAGAAAGAGTATAAAGTCCAACTGTATCTTCCGGTAGAGAGACGGAAGTGTGATGGTCACCTGATCTCCCCAGAACTCTATAGAATTGTCCTATTAGTAGTAGAGAGATCAGTTCATTCTGATGAGAAGGTGGGTGCGCCCCAACAGAAAGGCAATATCTTGATTGGGTCATTATTTTCTCTTCAAGTTACATGTGCTATCCATTTTAGTTGTTACTGCTGTTGGTAGTCCCCAAGTTATGTGGTTTCTGTTATTTGGTACAATTCTTTGTGGTTCTCTATCACCAGACTACAAAGTTCAAAGAAGGATGACCTTTGACATGACCATTAGACATCACCAAGCCTTTTTTCTTAGGAAGCAGTTGTATACAGCTGAGAGTTTAGATATTTCTGAACAGGTTTGGCACCGGTATGAAAGTTTCATGACTCAACTTAAGCAGCAAAAATTCATTCAAACAGGTTTTATTAAAATAAAGTTCTCTCAGCTCGATTTTATATATATATATATATATATATATATATATATATATATATATATATATACACACACACAGAGTCACACTTCCTTTAAAAACGTTTATATTAATAAATGTGCTCTTTTTGTTACATTACTATTCAACCTTTTGCAATTAATTTTCCTTTTTGTAAGAAAATTATTTTTAATTCTATAGAGATAAACAAAATAATTGTTTTTACACTTTTCATTAAGAAAAAAACAAAAGCCAACCATCAATAACAAAAACTGTAAAACATGAAAAATTGTAAATGGCGATATACAAGTGTAACTATAAATTGATGGGGTAATAAAATCTTACATTATTTTAGCAGCCATTACTGATTCTGTCTTATTTTTTTATAGAAAAAGGAAGACGAAAATCCCGACACTTGCAACTTTACCTCCTGATGTTCCTTTAGTCAACAAATCAGCAACTAGTTGGGTTTTACCCAAATAACTATTTTCATCAGCTATTTTAGCACACAACTGACGGAAACATCTGAACATATCATCTTTACTGGCAGAACTTTTCTTTCTTTCTTTTGGATCTTTTGAATCATCATCATCATCATCATCATCATTGCTTGCGAGCTTTGAACCATGGGCAGAATCGGACGATGATTTCGCTACATCTGAGAAATACAAAGAAAACAAACTTATAAGGAATTAATCAAATTCTATAGAACAAGACCATTTCATAAAATGTATAAGACTTAAGTAGAAATATCATAATTTTGTAAAGAAATCTTTATAAATTCATCTCTTTTTAAAGGCTTCTTTTCAAAAGAATCTGCAATGATATCACTACCTTTCCCATCACATAGTTTCCCTGCTTTGTCTTGTCTATAAATATTTTCACAGTAAGTGTTCTGATGAGCTTTTCTTGTTGCCATCTCGACTTCACAAATTTAAGCACATAACCAGAAGAGCTGCTATTTATCATAATTTGACTCTCTTTAATTTACTAGTTGTTACCGTAATGTTTTTATGATAATGGTTTCTTCTCCAGCATTTTTCACTTGTGGAACACTCTTCTGGCTTATTGCTTTCCCATCAACTAAGACCTAAAAAAAAATTAAATGCAATGTCAATCATCATTTTCTGTCTCCTTGTATCCAGTTCTTTTACTCAGTAAATCCTTGTATCTTAGTGGCTTTTACTGCCTTGCTTGAGGTGAAATGATTAATATATATATATATATATATATATATATATATATATATATATATATATATATATATATATATATATACACACACACATATATAGTCTAGTCATCTTTCATATTGTAACAAGAAATGGAAAAAGTATCATTTTCTTTTCTTAAAGATGGAATTTTTATTCAATTGATGAAATTCTTCCACCTTCTAAAGACTACATGTCATCTCTCTTGTTTTTATGAACTTTTCTTTAATATTGTAATGATATAGGACACTACATTTGCCTTTTCAAAGGTTATTTTTAATCTTTAGTTTGGTTTTAGAATAGTTATTTTATTGTCTGTCTTACAGCTACAAATAAACAAAAATAATTATGTACAAAAATTAATTTTTAGCTTCTAATAGAAAAAATATGTAATTTAAGCAAAAAAGAAAATAGTCATTGACATTACCAACCCAAAACATGTGCATGTCATGAGTACGATATGTTGGGAGAAATGAACAATACAGATGAGACCCTAAACAACTTAGCAGCTCATATTAATTTTGTTTCAATAAATATAGTTGTGCCAAGGATATATTAGCTCTTACTTTTTTTTATACAGGTTTTGTTGCCATTTTTTTTTTTAAGCTAGCAACTCTTATCTTTTACTCTCAACATATACAGACCATTTTTCTACTAAAAGTTGTAAAATTGATCAATTTCATTTTTCTGGAAAATGAATTTTCTTATTTCTTAACTAGTCATAAAGGAAAATGCTTTTTTTTTTTTTTTTTTTGATTAACTGGAGGATGTGGGGAATATTTTCAATTATAAATAGTTGATAATTACAGATTAATCAGAATTCCAAAATTTTTAATTTATGAGATGAGAGGCAGAATTATAGCTAAATAAATAAATATCTAACAATTTTACAAATACAGTCCGACTGAACTTATGATGCAAATCGCATAAACCTCAATAACTCAAATTTGCTTTGAACAATTTTTGTCAAATTTTAAACGATTAATTTAAACATCAAAACAATGCTGGGTTTATTAAATATGTAAATAGTTCCAACATGTTTTATTAAACTTATTGGATTTATTATAAAAACTGCTGTTTGAAGTTATTATGCACAACTAGGAAATTTTATTTCAATAATGATAATAAGATCATCAACAGTTGATCAACACCTATAATAGAACAAATAGAAAACATATGATAAGAGTCTTTGAAGCATTTATATCTTAATATAGTGACCCTTCTTCTCAATAACAATCTGCCATCTATTATCCATTGATTTTGTTAAAAACATTTTTTTTAATTCAGCAGGTTCAATTTCCAATATGGTGGTTTTAATTTCTTCCCATAGGTCTATCTTGTTGTCATACTGTTTGCCACCTTCATATAATTTCATCTTTGCTATTGACCATAGCTTTGATTGGATTCAGATTGGGACTTGATGGCGGCTTTTCCATTATCTTCTCTCCTGTAAACTCTTCAAGATCAAAATATATTCACAGGTAATGAGATACATAAGAAGAAGCATTGTTGTACATAAATACTCACTTAATTTTAAAACTGCCAGGTTGGGACTTGTACCATTCAAAGAAATTCTTGTCCATAAAATTGCAATAGTTAAGCACTTTTCAGTTTAACTTTAGAAAAATCAATTTTCATGTATTTCTTGGCCCAATTTTGATGTTTTAAAATATTTGCTTTACTGAGGGAAGTTTGCCTAAGAGATTTCTTGACAGATACCAATTTGCAGAATAGTCTACACATTTTGCCCTTCTTGACTCCCTCAATCCCATACTGTTCAAAGATCTGAGCATTGGTCAAAAGTGATTGTTTTACTATAACTCAGTTTAGTTTAAGTTCCTCTTGAGGAGACAAGTTCTTAAAGCCTTTTCCATTGCTTGAAGTTCTCAACTTATATTTTCAACAGCCCTCTTTATCATTCGATTATCTCTGTGAAGTTCCTTTGATATCTTCAATATAAACATTCCATCACTCAATAACTTTGCTATTTTCAGTTTTTAACCATTTTCTAGATATTTTTTTATCCAGGTTTCAACATATATTATGGAAAAAAAAAAAGAAAAAATAGTTTTATTAGATTTCAGAAGCCCTAAACTTATTAGTTAATTAATTTAATCTGCATAATAACTTCTGTCTGCCATTTTTATAATAAACCCAATAACTTTAATCAAACTACCTACAAATTTAACTCAAGCATTGTTTTTATGTCTAAATTAATCATTTAAAAATTTGACAAAAATTGTTAAAAGCAAATTCGAGTTATTGAGGTTTACATGATTTACATAAATAACCTCAGTCACACTGTATTTGAAAGATTTTATTTTCTAATCCATCATTTCTTTTTAATCTGTTATCAAATGTTCTTATTGTCAGTATCTTGTAAATAAAAAATATATTTCATTCTGAGACAGTATTTTCTATCTGTGAAAGTGAACTATTCAAAATTAGATTGACTACATGAAAATATATAATAAATCTATCAACTGATGATTTGAAATAGGAACCTCCATGAATTCTTTCCTATTCTTGAACCTTATAGAATCTAAAAAATACCAAACTCGCCTGCAAGATATGTGCTTATGGTGGTATCTTCTGTATTGAAAGTGGATAGGATTTGAGCCAATATCACAGATAATTCTAGCCTGACAACTTTCGTCATAACTGGTTATGGATCCATTGTGAACAGTAATGCCTTCTACTGAAATCCAATAATTCATGTTGCTTTGCCATGAGCACCCTAGCAATTATTCACACTGACTCATCAAACTTTAGAGAACAACTGACATAGGGGCCTGGCCATTTCCATAAGTCAAAATATGGTGGCATCCCCGACCATTGTTTTTACATACTGATCTACTATGACTTTTGGTATAGTTGATATTTTCAGAGTTGTGTCGAAACTGAAAAGAAATTCCATTTTTCTTTTTTTCAAAGTATAAAACACCCAACTAAATCAGAATTACAAAAACTATCAATTTAAAGACCTTTGCCATTGTAAGACTATTTAGCAAACATGACAAGAAAAGTCAATTAATATTCATTCTGAAACTAAATAAAAGACAAAGTTAGAGGGACAAACTTATTTTTGTTGCAGAAAAAAAATAACGTAAAATGAATAAGTCTTTTCTTAATCAATTTTGCATGTGATATTTAAAAATTTTATGATATAAAAACCATTTGCTTATACCAATAAAATTCAGTGGACTAGTTATTTTTTGTCTCAATTATTTCAGGCCTTTCATTTAGAGTTTAAGTAAAAAGTATCATCTGTCAAAAGTAAAGCTTCAAATCCAATGGACATCAAACAATCTGAACAAATGTGAGAAAAAGTAATAAGATCAAAGAAAAAAAATACAGTAAAAAGTTAAATTCAAAATAAAACTTTCACAACAGGTTTTTTTATTTGGAAAGTAATAAAAAATAAAATTACTTTTTTTAAGATAGAGACTGAAATATGCATTTCTGTTGTTTCTATTGAATGATAAAAATTGGTCATGAGTTTATTGTCTATATTTAGGAAACATGTTAACAGTAATCAATAGATAATATTTTAGCTTGGGTCAATAACAGCTTAGGATCAACAACATAAAATTAGTTTAGCTTTGTTATTCTGAGAATGAAAGAGAACAATTTCATGTTAGTCTTTTCATACACAGTCTCAATGTCTAAGTTTTAATTAAAATTGAATTCTAGCAATTTTCTATCCAGACAAAATTCAACCATTTTAAAATGTCCAATAACTGAGATTGAAATTTATAGAAAGCTTTTCTATCTTAGCAATAGCAACTTTTTTTAATATTGTTTTTTAAACTAAAGTTCAACCAAGAATTACTCAAAGTGGGGTTAATGAATGAGAGGAGCATGATTATGAATATATTGAAAATAGATAATGATTGACCCTAGACTCGAAAAGGTCAAGTAGCATTAAGTTGTTTATACATGACATCATTTCATCGATTACCAGAACAAAAGGTAGACACAATTGTTACAAGTTGACTTTTAATATTATAGAAATATGTTTAATAAAGAGTAATTTTTAACAGTTTTAATATTGTAAACAAATCTTCATAAGCAAAAATAATTGTGAGAAAAATTCTTTTACTTTTCGATTTGGATTCAAGTTTGTTTTGCTCTTCATTTATTCTTAGAGTTAATTGATCTGTTTCTAATGAAACTGATGGCAATCACAACTTGAACTTGTTAATGATGACCTTTCATTTGCAATATCAAGAAACTTGAAAATCAAATCAGGTTGAATTAAATACACTTTTCATTATACAGAGTGGCCCACAAAAAACAGGAAATTTTAGATTTCTTATTATATGAGGAAAAAAAATTAACTACATATTTTACTATATGAACAAACTAAAAATAACTAACATATAAATTTTTTTTAACCATTTGTTGTTCTGAGATGTTGCAGTTATCAAATTTTTTTTTTGATTGT